TGAACACTGTAGAGCATCTGTTCGGCCACCAAGAAATTCAGTTGACCTAGAAAAGCTTGAAAGATCATTGGCCATAGGTCTACACTCTATCGAATCAGGCCACAAATTCGATTTCGACAAATTGAAATAATTCTGAAAAATTTCAGAAGTCACAATGAACGTCTAATATCAGAGGCACTTCATATCAAGTGGAATCCAAATTGTCTGAATAGGAATGATGGACTAAAACAGAATTTGACTTGGTTACAACAGCCCTTACTCTCCATGATGTGACAAAATCAACAACACAATTTTGATACGCACTTTCAGTAGGTAAACACACGTTGCTTTTATAATTGTACACACCTATCAAAGCCAACAATCTACACCTGGTTTTGTTTTCTTTACCAAACGGCCAACTTGACAACGCGAAAATGGCCTCATGCTGAGGAGCGACGATTAAGTTGTTATATATAAGCTGAGGTTTTGTAAATTCTGGTTTAAAAGTACTTTGATAAAGCTATTAGTAGTATTAAATGGCAAAACGTCAATAAAAGCAATATTGTTTTGTTTTTCATTCATTGAGAAATACAAAAAACCATTATTATAATGATTGTGTGAATATACAAACGCTAATTTCATGAGATTAAAAATAACATTTAAAGACTCCTTGAAGTTTCTTTAAACAGAAAATGTTAAACTGTCTTACATGAAAACAATATTTTATAGTACACTGTATCAAGTGATTCCATAAATATACATTCAATAAACAACTGAACTGCTGAAAGATGAATGATGTTAGTTAAACTGTGTAAAAATGGAAAAAAATTACGGAACATTATTATTATTGCGCATACGATATAAGTACACCTAGGAGAAGTTCGTTGATCAATGAAATTAAGTGTCCTCTAAATATGGATAAAAGTTTAGCATCTCCAAACATCCAGTTAAGTGGTACTCGATGACTAAATATATGTGGCATCGTCATGCAACTCATGAATGGAATTTTTTACATTATGAATCACACAAAATCTTACTGAATTGAGATCAGAACACAGATCAGCTTTCGCCAATACATATGCCTTGAATCCTTTCTTCATATTTAATAAATTCACGAGCCATTGAATCGGGTTCCAGTGGCTGAATGGTATACGAGCTTGCCTTGTAACCGGAAGGTCCTGGGTTCGAAACCCAGTGGGTGCGTACTGCCGATGATTCCCAAACTAGGATGAAACAGCAGCTGTCCAGTACTCCCTGGTTTTCAATGGTTCTCTAACTGATATCAATCCGTGATCAACTCGTAATAAATTGTCATTTATTCGCAAAAATATGAATTTAAATGTTAAATATTGAAAAGATAAAAAATATTCTCAAGTATTGGTTTTGTAGGGATTTTGTTTGATTGCATGGAGGATTTAATCATGAGCTGACATCAGTTAGAGAACCACTGGAAAACCTGGGAGTACTGGACAGCTAAAACGATTATTTGAAAAGGTCATTAAACAGCATATGAATTTCACCCGATTGGGTATGAGAGTGGGTTTTCTATTCTGTCTAATTGTTTTTGTTCTAATTGTCTTTTTGCAAGATATCGAATTTAGTGGTTTTATTTTAGACGAGAAGTTAAAGGTTTCTTTACTTTTGTTGAACCATATAATTCACATAAGCATTACGGAGTAGGAATACATGAAATGAATAGTAAGGAGAATAAATATGATTATGTTGAACAGCGGTGGTCCTAATGTTAAAATGCTCTCTATTCACGAGGGTTGGCGCCATTCTTTTCGCGGCTGACCGTCTCTCAAACTCTCCTAGTTTACTAGCTAATATTAGGCCTAGAAAAGATGGAAGGTTTAGCGTGTCTATTAGCCCCACCCTTTAAAGATAAAAATACCGCTACTGAGGCTTCAAAGATTGAAGCCCTGTGTTTTACCCGGAATGTAAGGTATGTTCACTGTCACATCACAGATCATATTTTAATGTTAGATATAAATTTTGATGTTGTATAGGAATGTAAGTGGTACATCGTCGGCACAGCAGTAGAATGTTCGCCAACCACGCGTGTGGTCCAGGGTTCGACCATCTGCCAACCCACTCCTCTACGTTGCTAAGTTAGTAATAAGACTGTTAAACGAGAAAGGTTGGGCATGAGGTTGGCAACCCCATTCCGTAAAAATAAAAAATGTATAGCATTGTAACTAAATTAAACAGAGAGTAAGTGTGTTGTAATGCACCTGCTAAGGGACTATGGTTATTAGCATACGATGCATATGTATACCAACAATGTTTTGTCTTATGGATTTTTTGTTTTGAGAATTACACTGACCTCTGTGAAGACTTAAGAGGATGAATTATTCCCTTATGATGTGTTTTAATCATTTATGCATACTTTTACACTAAACTAATAGTCGTAAGTACTAACTGAGGGTTAATGATACGCTGATGCTTAAAAAATTCAGTGCACGTTTAGATAACTTTGGTTATTCTCAAGTAATTAATTCACAGGAAAGTATAATCAGTTGATTTTTTGATGTTTCGAAGAATTATTATCATAAATAAATTTATCCAGCTAGTTTGAACAAAACAAGAGGCATATGAAACAATACTGGACTGATATTATCAGTTTATATTAGAGCATTCACTTTACTTTGCCTTCATTTATTCTATGCTGAAATTATGAGAAAAAACCACTACTTTATTCAGTCGCTTGTTGATTTCAAAGAGAATTATCACTTTTCTAATTATCTCATTCAAAAGAAATGATTTGATGAAAATGATGTATTATTACCTAAAGTAGAAAATATTATCATTATTTTTATTTTTATTACAGCTTGATTCCACACCGTATTTTTGGTACAAGTATGGAATTTTGAGCATGTGATATCGGTAGCCCAAATTTTGCAGGCCGACCATAGATATCAGATGTACGTCGGCGGGAGACCGAACCCCGGACCATGTTCATGATCGGCGAGAGTCCTAACCACTGTGCCACCGACGCACAATTACTAATACTATTTTGATGAACAGACTTCATAGGATAAGTATTATTTGAATGGTAATCAAAGATAGTGAAACTCCTAGTCGTCTCAGAACTCAAACCAGGTTCAACGCGGTATTTTAATATTTTTATTTTGCGTTGAAGTTTCTGTAGCAGTTTGATTGGTTCGATTAAGGTACTTATGCTACCTCGCTGACTGCTGTTGTGACTGTTATTAATATATGCTCTAGTTGCATCTTTTAAGTTAGCATTCATAAAATGCATAGAAACATTTAGTCCTCAGAATGCAATATATTATCAAATTTCCAAATGTCGGTTTGCAGGGATTTAAATGATTCCAAGGTTACGCCGCTGACTGTTAAGTCACGGATGGAATCCAGTGGCCTATGTGGGGACAAACACTAGCCTATGATACTGGATGGCCATAGCTCTAAACATCGTAAATTAGCAAAAGCCAGAATTCATGGTTTGACTATTGTATTCTGTTCCAGTGGCTGACTGGTCAGCAGGCTTGCTTTGTAACCTGAAGGTCCTAGGTTTATTCCTGGTGGAGTTATGGTGCATGCTGCTGAAAGAGTCCCAGACTAGGATGAAACAGTTCTTCACTAATCTCCGGTTTTAAGTGGCTACCTGATAGATATTAGTTTGTGATCTAACTTGAAACTACTTCACATTTCCATTACAAAGAGATAAAATGAAGAATTTAAAGTGAAAAAATATTCAGTGGAGCTTCAGAGAGATTTTCAAAACATTGTATCGGCAACAAGTATTTTGACTGGAATATTTCTCGTTCTCTAATAAAAATGAAACCAGATAACTTCTATTGCATTTTTAAAGTAACAGTGTCAGCTGAATTTACTTGAAGTGATGGAAACTTGTTGTTCTAATTTTTAGAAATTATAATTTAGCTTTCTATCCATTCACAAACTTTATATACCCTTTCAGTTATTGTGCAATTCAATAATTAGACTGGCGTCATTTACAGGATGGCTTAAAACTAGGAAGTATTAGGTGACTGATTCATTTTAGATTGCGACACCATAGCAGTGCTTACTTGTATTCCTACCAGAAGGCCCAAACCAGGACCTTTGGGTTATGAGACCAAAGCGTTCAGCATTCACCCACTGGGACGAAATCCACTGACCCGTGACTTCCAACTAGTATCAATTTCCCCTACTATCAAGTAGTAGCGTGAAAGAGCAACCGATTCACACATGATACGGTGAATACCATTGGACATTAATTTCCACAAGAAATTCAGGACACCTAGCCTATAGCCGTTAATGGGTAGGAGACTAGTATTTGGATTTTAAATTTGTAGGAATTTTGATTAGCTTCACTGTAGGTTCAGTAGATACCTGCATTCCTGAACGAAATGGCTGAACAATAGTCTCTCGTTTTCAGTGGTTCTCTTACGGATTTCACCTCGTGACGAGATATACCCTAAACTTAATTGATGTTCCCATAAACCCGAGATTTGAATTAGCTTTCAGTCAGGGAAAAGGAAGGTAAATGAGTAACTTATTTATTTAAATGGGATATTTAGAGATAAACAGTTAAAATTCCTTTTCAAGGATCATTTGTATCAGTAACTTCTGTAAAAGGAATAGAATGCCCGGTAAATGAGAAAGCTGTATAAAGTCGACCATGAGATCGAATAATTACACTAGCACTAAATGGCGAATGGAACAGAGGCTGAAAAGCATATAAAGAATATCAAAGGCCATCATTTAATCTCCTTTACCAACATAAGTCATATGGTGATGATCGCCTTTATGAAGTGGTAAGTGTTGAAAACTTCAACCCATTGACTTTATTTTACATCATTTCCATGTCATACATCTAAGTTTCAACATCGTATTACTCAGTAGTATCAAAACATGGTAAGTACTTCAGTCTAGCGATAATACTTCATTATGAAAATTACATTTCAATCCACTAGTAGCTAAGATACAATCTCAACAATTAGTCATTTCTTTGTATGTATATAGATAACATACCATTCATTTTATACATAACTCACCTTTCGAGTGTACACGTTTCATCCAAGGATAGATAACAGTGAGATTTGGCTGACGATTAATATTACCATTATTATTATTAGTAGTAGTAGTGCTGATATTACTCATAGAATTAATAGTATTTTGATTCGAGTATTTATCTAGTGAGAGATCATTTTTATTTAGGTGAAATGAACTTTGTAGTGTATGTTGACTGCTTATTGATAATATTGGCCCACCTAATCTAAAATGGGATGCAGAAGAAATGGATGAAGATGGTGAAGATTTTGATGACAAACAATGAGGTGTTGTCAGTGCATTTGATATATTCGAGTAATGTGAGTAATTGGTTGATAAATTATTACCGATTGGATCAGATGGAGTAAATGAATGCAAACTCTCGTTAATAGTGTGATTATTACCATTACTATTCCTACTACTACTACTACTACTACTACTACTACTACTACTACTACGACGACGACGACGAAGACCACTGACATTAGTGATTGTTGTGGTATTTTCTCCTACTGTATTAAATTTGTTAGTTAAATTACTATTACTGTTATGATTATTGGTAGTAGTAGTACCAGTAAAAGTAGTAGAAGTATTACGAACAGGGTCAATAAATTTCCATGAATTATTTGTTATTTGATATAAATTACCATGAGCGGCATTAATCTGTTGTTGTGGAATTGTTGGTGGCTGGAAATTGGAACTTTGCATCACATTCATTTCTTCGGATGAAATAAAGCCGAACGTTTCAACATTCCTTTGATGTGTTTCAATGAAACGTGAATAATTAAAAAAATCTGAATTTTTTACATCAGAACTATGATTACCATTGCCAATGCTATTATTGTTCTTATTGTGAAATGATTCCATTGAATTAGAGTATAAATTTAACATTTTTTGATTTTCATGTAAAAAGTTCTGCTGTAACTGTTGATGTTGCAGTTGATTAGGCGAATGGTAATGACTCGCAACAGAAGAAGAGATAAATTGATGTGGACGATCAAGATTATTTGACGATGACGTTATTTTTGCTGTTGATGATGAGGATAAGCAGGATGTCAATTCAGTGTCTGGTTTAGAATTTTCCAAAATATCGCATGCATTTTGATGATTACTTTTGAATAAAATTGATCGATTATTTGGTCGTATATGAAATGGTGAATTGAATTCCGCTAATGATAAGTGGGAAATTTGAGGCAATGTAGAATTAGGCGATGAATGATGTGAGTGAGACAGATGATGAAGACGGTGATAATCAAGTTTTTGAGAATTCTGTGATTGTGCTATAAAATTTTCATCAAAATTATCTATAGAATCTGTTGTTGGTATTACTATTGGATGCCCCATATATACATCATATTGAGGACTATTCGATATACTTATGCATTCATTATCGGAGTGAATTAACGGATAATTGGATAGTGTTGTTGTTATATGATTCCTCCTACAAATACCTTCTTCTTCATCACCACCACCACCACTTCCGACACTGCGCCTACCACTGACAAGGTTGCGTATGCTTGTAGTATAATTAGAACCAATCATATGTTTTGGTAAATTAACAATAGTTTGCGAATTTTGCATACTGAGTAGAACACTCATTGATTAGGAATTAATATAACTGAATATAATTAATTTTCCTTCTCTCTACTATATTTTTCAGTTTTTCTGTTTGGAATATGAAGCACACACAAACACAATCTGATCAGGTTAATGAAGATGTTGTATTTTTCTCTGATAACTTCATTAGTTTGATTGAGTGTATGCGTCTTTATATATTAAGAATTTGATGCATATATTACACTATTACCCCTTCAATAGAAAGTGTTTTAGAAATATGTGACTATGCTATGATACGACTGAGCTTTACTTTTGCTTACGCTAAATCCAACTGATACTTTTTAGCATTAAATGTTAAATTGAAACAAGACATCGAGAAAAGATTCGGCACGGGAATAGAGGATACAGTGACAGAGAGAGAAAGCGAGAGAGACAGGTAGAGATATCACACGAAAAAATAATGACTTATATTTATAAGTGAACAAGAACTAGTGTGTATATCCAATGGATTTGGGTGCTTGTTTGATTTGTGTACATGAACATCCATTCCAATCACGTAAATCTCTTTTCTCATTTATATATATATATATATATATATACGAATATAAAAGTTATTTTGGAAAATCGGCAAATTTTCGGGTAATAGTAGTATTATCATTCATTAATTATAGTAGCAGTGAAAATGAATTATTCTCTGTTGTCAGTGCATAAATTATACTTCAGACAATAAAATACTGTTTGCAGTAAGTATTTGCTCGATTTCTGTTGGTGGTCACTCATTCAGAATACCTTTAATAATTGTGTTATTGGTACATGGATGTGACATTTTAGTACAATATTTTAACGCGATAGAATGAAAAATGAATGACATTAAAGTTCTGTAGTAATTTTTCATGAAAATATGTGTGAATTTTATTGTATTGAGAAATAAACACGCGTACATATACAAACATGAACACAAATATACACTAGATATAATATAAAAATATATATATTGTGTGAGTGTGTATGTTCACCTAATGCTCTACTTCTATGAAACAAAGAGCCTTTTCATTTGACAGAAAAAAGGTGAAAATGTTAAAGGGGAGATATATTTATATATCTGTATATATATATTTATATATATCTTTTTTTTAATTCCTAAAATTTCATTTGTTTGAAAGAAGGATACAAGTATTGTGTACTGATCTAAAGAGCGCATACAAACACTGTTGGTCCGCTTCGTTTGAATGATTGTCTGTCTATCTAGATGTCTATAACCAATCACAACAGAGACAGGCCTTAAAACAAACAATATTATAAGTGGTTTGTATAAAGAAGGGGAGAAATAAATTGCAACCTGTAATGTAATTAAAAGATGTACTGAGTACATTCCAGCAAAACAGAATTTTATTGTGAGTATTCAGATTAGGCAAAATGAGAAGGAGATCACTAAAGTGAAACTGGTTTTTCTAGTTGTTATCCCTCCAATATGATGATTTCAGAATTTAAAACTCAAACTATATTTCTTGAATTCTATGGCGTTTTACTAATTCACTACTTACTGAAATTAATCCACTTAGCTTTACCGATGAATTCAATGAGGTGAATTAACTTCATTTAGTGTAAAGAGGCAGTAAAATACATCAGGTTCTTAATAATAATGTTCATGAGCGCCTCCGTAGTTCATTGGGAGAATGCTAGTCACAATGATGGTTCAGCTTCGATTCCAAGCTGACATATTCTTAAACCTCGCTTAGTAAACCACGAAAAGAGGGGTTGTCAGACGTTAGGTTAACAACTCATATGTGCATTTTTTCTTAGTTCAGAATAAATGCTGCTACAATAACAAGCAAAAGAATACAGTGTGATAAGGTAGGCGATACCCAAATAAATGTTCATAACAGATTTTTTAAGTTATTAGTGAAAAGTTCGTTATAAAGTACCGAAGCTTGGAAAACATGAAATAGTTTCCATTCTCATCCTGATCTAAAAATTCACCCTTATTTCTCTTAATGGAAACCTTTGCAGGGTTTAATGGATCCGTAAGCATAAAGATAAAACATGCACTTACTGACGCATAGCTGTCATAATGATACACGAAGACAAGTTTGTGCCATATAAGATAAACATTTAAGATGAAACAACATCAGTAAATATTGTCTGCAGATACGAAATAAGTGTAAATGAAATATTAGTTTATCGGTGAGTAAAAGACTAGACCGAGACATCTTAGAACCACTTACTTCGAAAGCAGTTCCTATACTGACTTGCAGTTGTGTAAATAATTAATAAGACCCTTTAAATACAAGATATACATTTATTCGTAATATGAGATATTCAGAATTGTGAATCTTGTACATAATTTCGGATACGATGTCATGTCTAAGTATCATTAGTAAAATGGAATTTATTTGGGATGTTTATAATGATCACTAAAGAAGAAACACGACAGAAAATAAAAGATTGCTAATGACAACTAATTAACAAGTGTTGGTTTGTGAGGATTTGATTAGCCTCAGGTTTCATCACAAACTGATATTGGATAGAGAAACACTGGAAAACCTGAGAGTACTGGACTGCTGTTTCATCCTAGTCTGGGACTCTTAATGCGTGTGAACTACTGTGGTTCGAACCCTCCGCTTGTAAGGCGAGCTGGTAGACCGACCATTCAGCCATTAGTTTGCAATAAGACGGAGATCCTAGAGTGTTTTGTCAGCTTTAATAATAATAATTATTATTATTATCATTAATATTATTTGTGTTTTGCTTTCCAAGTGGAACAAAACATCTTCCTTACACTCTGTTCTCTTAGTCCGTTTTGGATAGCTTTCATGACTTCCTATAAGCTTTTATTTACTCTTCACATGACCTTGTTCATGCCACTCTCGGACACCCAACCATTTGCTTCCTATGAGGACTCCACTCAAGGGTCTGGCATGTGATGTCACCCAACGGTGTCTTCAGTATATATCCAATCCATCTCCATTTTCTTCCTCGCATTTGTTGTATGATAGATTGTTGGCTGGTGTGCTGATACCAAAGTTCCTTATTGCTTTTACTATACGTTTTATCAATAGTCAGAAAACGAACAAAATTTAATCATTTCGGCTTCATAAAAGTGCCAAAAATTTAGAAATTAACTAACTAATGTCAGCTCTTGATGGAAAAATTATTCACTTGAGAATAACCGAACATAATTAATAAATGATTATTAAGTTTATGTACTGAAAAGTTTTAATATACTTGCAAATTTTACACGATGTCAGTGTACGGGAAGTTCCGAACTTAGTGAACAGTGCTCAGAAAATTACACTTATATAACCTTACACAGGGAGTTCAAGTTTAAACAAAGTAAATGCATGCATACAATGGTAAAGGAGTTATAAAGTAACAAACTCAAGGCGAAGTTCAAGAAAAGCGTCCCAGTAGTGCGAACGCTCAAATGACCTTGTACTCATGCTAGTGGTTGGTTGAAGAAACCTACAATTATTCTAGCGCGAAAATGAACGCTGTTCATCTGCACAGGTGCGAATTTCATTCAGACCACGTATTTCAATACTGTCTGGATAATGGATTGATAGGACGTATTCATATATGCAGTTGTTGTGTTTCAATGAGCCTGCAACCGTATTCCCAGGTCGCTGATGGATATATATTTCGATGTACAGAGTGTAGGAAACGAACAAGTGTTTGTACTGGTAAGTGACACTCTCAGTTAATTGTCTTCCAGGAAGTTTCTTTGACGCACATACTGTTTCTTCGCCATTACTGAATTTTGAAGTCCGGAGTGAGGTTAACTGCTGCTCAGACAGAAAATGCGTTGACATCTACTGTGAAGTGGCTTCAATTTTGTCAGGATTTAGCATCATGGAGAATGAACAGTATTACACAAGTGTTGGGAGGAGTCAGTGTTATCGTTCATATCGACGAAACAGTGCTTAAAAAGAAGAAATACAATCGTGGACGTGCTGGAGCTAACAACTTTTGGGTATTGGAAATTTATGACACCCGAATTCAGAAAGGATTCATTGAACTTATTCCAGACTGGAGTGCTGACACATTTCTACTTATTATTCAAAGACTAGTTTTGCTTGTCACTACTATACACAGGGGGGAATGGTCAGGATTTAACCAATTATCGGATTTGGGATATATACACAACCGAGTTAACCATTCCGATGATTTCGTGGATCCCAGAATAGGCTCTCATTCTAATTCAATCGCAGGTTACTGGGGAAGATTAAAAAATAGAATAAGAGCAGTAAATGGCTCTGAAAACCAAGTCATTTACAGTCACCTGAATGAATACATGTATAGAAATTGGTTTAATTTAAAAACTGACACTCCCTATGATAACTGAGGCATATTTTTATCTCATATCAGAGAAAAATACCATGTTTAATGTTTTTTCATGCTTTTTTATGTAAAAATACGTAAATTTTATGCAAAAGTCCCTCATTTTTCTGACTGGTTGGCTCAAGGTTACTAGTGAGTTTGCATCCCTTGGGACGCTATTGTAGAACTTTGCCAAACTTAATTGGCTGTAACCAGATGATGAGAAGCCAACGAAATAAATGACGGTACCATATATTTCTGGAAAAACTGTTGTTCTTGCTTTATTCAGAAAGAGGAGGTCAGACGTGAGGCTAACAACTCCACCTCGTGAAAATCCACAACTCCAACGCTATTGAAACTTCAAAGCCTCAAGCCTATGTTGCACTCGGAACTCAAGGAATGGAGAAAAATTTTGAAAATTACTTATGAGCCTATAGTGCATGAATTTATTCATTTCGGAATAATCTTCGAATAACGATGATACTCACAAATGACGGATGATTATATCTGACATCACAACAAATCAGGATATTCAACAAGGCAGTTATAAATTCTTAATGGACCTAATTATCTCTTAGGTCCTAAATAGTCAATATATATATATATATATATATATATATATATATATATATATAAATATATATATATATAGAAAAATAGAACTAGACGTGATAAACTGTTGAAGTAATAATGAACTGATCAAATTACTGAGAAATACCAAGAACTGTTCATAGAAAAATTCCACCGTCGACCACAGCAGAACTCTTAGTTCTCACATCATGTGGGTTAATTCTTGAATCCATTAGTGCTCACGACGTCATTTGCAATTTTTGGAATATATTAAGCTGTTTTTTGTCAAGTACTCAACTTACTTTTAATTAAATCATTATCACTCTGCCAGTTTGAGATAATCTCACACTACCCCGATAAATAAATTATAGTATAATTCCCTATATGAAAAGTAAGATTTTTTACAAGAGATACTCAAAAAATGATAGAAACCAGAAAATAATGACTTCAGCGGATTTGTTGTTTAGAAGTATTACAATGGGCAAATTATCCGATGAATGAATACTGGAACCTGGAGAATAAAAGTATCAAGAATGTGATAAACTATTAGGGAGTCAGGGAAAATATCTGAAAACTAACCACTAGTAGATGCCGATTATATACTGATATATTCAGCTATTCTCAAGTTAATTATTTTTCGTTTTTAAATTTGATGATATTAGATAGTTGAAGGCAATCGGCAGGAAACCTTGGACCAAGGTTTCGTGCTGGTTGGCACTCGTCAGCAGCGCGTATCTTCATGGGGTCAGTGACGTCTAGTGTAAGGTCTCTGTGTGCACCGCTTAGTTACTTTTGTTGAATTCTCAGAAGCGACCTGAGTTCCTTCAAATTTTGCGGATAGGCTTCGCTGACGTGTGCCATTAATCACGAAATCTAGTTCTACGGCTTCCTGGCTGTTTCATCCAACTATCTAGTAATAATATTTATTTTTATAGCTGGGAATATACACCAGATCCTCCTCTTTAATGGGTGAATTATCTACGAACTCTCGTGGCTATAGAAGGGTTCGATTCTCTGTGGTTCACACTGCTAATTTGTCCGAAACATGGATTTAACTGTTGTCCAGTACTCTGGGATTAACCGATGTAAGCTCACGATACAATTCTGTGACAGATACTTCAGGTCGCCATAACATTCTATCCCCCTTCGAAATATAATTCCTGAAATGAGCGTTACATGTA